CATTGACTTGTATTTGTTTTCTTCCTGTTAGTCTCAACCCAATTATTCTTCACAACAGAAAGCAAATACTACTTTGAAGAATTAAGAGTGAGTGAGTATAAAATAGACACATTCTACCACCTAACTTTTCCAATGTGGCCATTGTTCCTTAGCACTGTCAGATGCTCTCAAGATGACTTATCCACATGCATCTGCTGAATTTGGTGGCTGGCTGTTGGGAAGAGGTGAGGTTTGGTGACGTAGATATAACTTTGGAACAATCTCATCTATACCATCTTGGTTCTTGTATTGGAATCCTTTTTTGTGCATTACCACCAAAGTTATTTTCAGAACATCGTATGGATTTTTCATTGAAACATCTGTGTTAACTTTTATTATCCCTGGTCTGCTTTGTAATTTTGGAAACAGATATAAAGCACGAGCAACCCAAAGCACAGTAATATAGTGGGAAGCATCCTTCATAAGTCAATTGAGGAATTTAATAATCTCTTTAGAAATAAGCTCTGCAGCTATGAGAAAAATGTGTGGGTTAAAGGCCTTCCAATTAAGAAAGGTTTCTCTGTGGATTTATAGGCTGGTGGTTCACTCTTCCTGTTCGTGTTTCCATAGCAACTGTCAGGTAGATTTTCTGCTACTTGCTAGGAAGTTGGAAATGTTGAGTCTGGTTGAGCCTTTTCAATTCAGTGAAGCTTAAATGAAATTCTTTGCAAGGAACTGGCATTTAGCCTGGGTCATTTATTCATATCTAGAAGAAAAAATCAATTATAGTAATCAAATGTGCAAATTTTTTATTGGGATTATTTTTGGTACATATTTTGTGCTGTAATCTATTTTTAATGCCAGGGTACTAAAGGTTTGAAGGGCTGCAGCTGGCCTCTTTGCTATATGATGGCTTGTGGCTTTAATTACAGCCCAAGACATCGGAAGGCATGCCTTTTTTGGGTCTCCGTTTGCAAGCTATAATCACCCCTGGTGATATTCAGAAGCGAACTAGGATCCAGGAGCCTCATTTGGTTGAGACACCTAAGCTGCACGGAATGCGATACACAAGCTTCCCAGCTTTCCTTCTCCTTCTCCTGTTGGTTGCTTGAAATTAAAGCCTGGGAGAGAAATGATTTCGGTACTGGGACGTCAACAGCTTGGAAGTAGAGTAGCATCATTTTCCCTTCAGATTATACCCACTTGGGTGTCGCTGACGATGTGGGTTCATTGCAACCCACGTTGATGGATGTCTGGCAGCTGCATGTAGGCTGTCTCCTGTAATCCCTGAGAAAAAGAACCAAACCACCCAGAAGGTGGGCAGTGTGCGCGCATGCCGCTGTGCCTCGCATAGCATACAATAGATGCCCCGGGAAGGACAGGCAGCGAAGGGGCATTACTTAGTGTGTCTTTTGTTAGCAACTTTGCTCACTGGCACAGAATCAGCGGCTTCTACAGAAAATAAGGCACAAGTCTTCACTTCCCACTGTGCTGCTATTTATACCCTGGCACCCCTGTGGACATTTCTTATAAGATATATTATTTACAACAATGGCTTTGCATGTTTCAGCTCATTTCACCCCCTCTTCTTTCCTCATCATTTGCATACCACGTCTTTACCTATTATAGCCATGCCTCATAGTCACACTGAGATTGACTGTTGGCAAAAATACACAGGGAGGGAGAGACAGAGAGAGAGAAGGGAGGGAGGGGGTGGGGTGGGGAAATTTCTTTCTTTCTTTCTTTTTTAATAGAACTGAAATGTCTTTTACTTACTTGTCTGGCCTTATTTTCTTCCTCTTTGGTCTGGAAACTGCTATATTCTATTTAGCTAAATAAAAACTTTCTGTGAGGAGCAGTTGAAGCTGAAGGAAACTCACCCTCTTCAGTCGTCATACTGAGAAGTGGAACTGAAGTCCCTCCACTCCGCTCTCAACTTCATTTACTCGCAAAGGCTAGTTTCCTCTTAAATAAATGGTATGTGGAGCTGTGTGGCTCCATCAGAAGAGGTTCCTGTTCCCAGAAGCAGACACGGAGAAAAGTGAAGCGGGCAGCATTTGCTGTCTGTAGCGAGCAGGACAGTGGGACTTGCTCAGCGCTGCAAATATATTCAAATAGATGCATTGGGGAACACATCGTGTGGCCAGAAAGATCGTTTTTTCAGTCCCGTGCTAACACTCAGCACAGAGCCGTACTGGTGGTAAACAGGAGCACCTGGCCATGGGGAGCAACAGACATTTAATTTTGGCTGCTCCTCCACAAAGGATGTGCAGGCCACTTCCACCCCACGTTCAGGCACCAGAGTTGAGCTTCCCTCCATCTTCTTCCTCCCTCCTTCCATCTTCTTCCTCTTTCCCTCCATTTTCTTCTTCTCTCCCTCCATTTTATTTCTCTCTTCCTCCATCTTCTTCCTCTCTTCCTCCATCTTCTTTCTCTCTCCCTCCCACCAGCAGCCCTACTGCTGGTACACAGCCAGGCAGGGCACCTGCTCCCAGGTGTGTGTGTGTGTGTGTGTGTGTGTGTGTGTGTGTGTGTTGGGAGAGCAGGGGTACAACACAGGCAGTGAGGGTGTCAGTCATCCCTCTGGCTGCTCCCAGCTGACTGTGCCTCATGTGGATTTTATCCAGCAGATGGGCTGTTCCTCCCGGTGGCCCTTGAACCTGATGCACCTCACCTGCTCTCCAGGCTCCTGCTCCTGCTCCATATTCTAGCGACCTCTGACCTTGCTGAAATTCTCCCTCCAGATCTCCATTTCTCAACTTGGGGTCTATCTATTCACTTCATGACGAGGTGCTTCATTACCCACCCAGCCCCTGGCTTTCCTCCCTCTGAGGGCCCAGGTGTTCTGCTTAGAGCTGCTAAGCTGAGACAATAGGCTAAGCGGCCTTTCTTCCTCCTCCTCGCCTCCTGGCCACACCTTAAGCCCCATTGTGCTACCCCGATTTTCCTGGCTGGCTCGACTGAAGGCTGCTTCCCTGCCTTTCTGTCTGGCCAGGCCCACCTTCATTTCCTCTGTGCCACTAGGGAGAGCAGGGGTACAGCACAGGCAGGGAGGGTGTCGGTCATCCCTCTGGCTACTCCCAGCTGACCGTGCCTCATGTGGATTTTATCCAGCAGATGGGCTGTTCCTCCCAGTGGCCCTTGAACCTGATGCACCTCACCTGATGCTGTCCTGACACCTTCCTGTGACCGTCCCCCAGCGAATGCCACACGGGTCTCCCATACCCACTGAGACTTGGCTCAGAGTCAGGTCAAGGAGTGGTGAGACTCATGCTCTATCCAAGAAGAGCAGATCTTATGAACAACTTTTCAAGGTCACTGAATATCTGGGAGAGTGTCCTGGGACATGACTTGCGCCAGTGAGAATGACCTAGGTTAAAAAAAACCCAGACCCAGAGCAGTCGGAATGTAGTAAAAGAGAAAACCCATGCACAGCCTGTGTGGTTTGATTAGCTAGCCCCCATCTCTGTTGGAAACTGTATGGAGGCTTCTCAAAAATATACACAACCAAATGCCCAGGTGACCCAGCAAGCTCACTCCTTGGCATTAAAGCTGCCCACACGCCTATGCTCATTGTGGTGCTGTTTACAGTCATCGAGACTTAGAAACCACCCACGTGGCCAGCAACAGAATGGAGAGGGTGTGGTTTATGCACCACAGAATGCCACTCAGCTCCAAGAAAAGATGAAATCTTGAGTTCCACTCCAACTTGGATGAAACTGGAGTGTGCCATGCAAAGCGAAGTGAGTCAGAAGAAGAACAAAGCTCAGATGATCTCACCATCTGTGGTGTATAAGGAAACACAGCAAAGGAATAGACAATTCCTGTGAAAACAAACCCCAAGATGGTGCCAGCCAACAGAAGAGGCTGCCGTAGGGATTACGGGAACAGTTGCAAACGGACCTAGAGATGGAGGCAGAGGGGTACTGCCACTCTAGATACAGGTATAGTGCTGCACATTACATGTCCAAAATATTAACATTTAGACTATTATAAGCCAGGACACCTCAATAAAAATTGTGGATAAAGAAAGATAATCTCAGGATACTAAAACAGCTCATGGAATGAGAAAAATTATTTACCAAATACCCATCTGATAAGGACTTAATAATAAGGATATATAAGGCCTTGGTAGAAATTTACAAGAAAAAAAACAGCTCCATCAAAAAAGGGGGAGAAGAAATGAATGGAAGCTCTCTCAAAAATGAAATACAAATAGTCTAGAGGGAATGAAAAACGTGCACTACACCACTAATCATAAGGGAAATGCAAATCAAAACAACAATGAGATATAATCTCATGCCAGAGACTGGCATACATACAAAAGAACAAGAACAACCAGTGCTGGCGTGGATGTGGGGAGAAAGGGACCCTCATTCATTGCTGGTGGAATGCTGACTGGTCCAGCCTTTTTGGAAAACAACATGGACATTGCTCAAAAAATAGAAATTGAGCTTCCATATGACCCAGCAATATAGTTCCTGGCAATATACCCTAGGGGCCCAGAAACACAATGCAGAAAACCCATCTGTGCGTCTATGTTCTCTCAGTAGTGAGAATCTGGAAACAACCTTAGTGCCTGAAAACAGATGACTGAATAAAGAAACTATGGTACATCTACACAAGGGAATAATATGCAGCCTCCAGGAAAATAATGAAGTCATGAAAAATTGCTTATACATGGTGGACTTGGAGAGTCTCAGGCTGGATGAAGTCAGCCAGAGGGAGAGGGACAGACACAGAATGATTGCACTCATTTACGGGATATTAAAAAAAGAACTAGAGTAGGAGATTGATACCCAAAGACAGTAGAAATGAGGGCCATGAGAACTGATAGGACATGGTGGAAGCTTGTTACGACTGGGGGTGGGGGAGTGCAGTTGGGCTAGAGAAGCGACTACATGACAATGATAGTTGGAAATGATCACTGTGCACAAGAACTGAATGCTGGAAGGAGGGAAAGAGATATGCAAAATAAAACTTTTCATTTCCTTTCAGCCGGAACTGCCAGTGCCCAGTAAATCGCAAAAATGACCAACACAAAGGCAAAGTGGAGGCGCACCTGCTATATGTTCTCCAGCCCTTTCAGAAAACATGGAGTCATTCCTTTGGCTACATACATGCGTCTATACAAGAAAGGTGATACCATAGACATAAAGGGAATGGGCACTGTCCAAAAAGGAATGCCCCACAAATGTTATCATGGCAAAACTGGAAGAGTCTATAATGTTACCCAGCATGCTGTTGGCATTGTTGTTAACAAGTCAAGGGCAAGATTCTTGCCGAGAGAATTAAATGTCCGCATTGAGCATATTAAGCACTGTAAAAGTCAAGACAGCTTCCTGAAACGGGTGAAGGAAAATGATCAAAAAAAGAAGGAAGTCAAAGAGAAAGGAACTTGGGTTCAACTGAAGCACCAGCCTGCTCCACCCAGAGAAGGACACTTTGTAAGAACCAATGGAAAGGAACCTGAGCTGCTGGAGCTGGAGCCCATTCCCTATGGATTCATGGCATGAGAAGTGTTTGTTTAAAAATAAAGAGACTCCTAGACTATAAAAATATGAAATAAAAATAAAGTAACCTTTCAGCATCTGTATTGCAAACCACAGTGCCTGAAAGGAGGGAGGGAGTGAGTGAGTGAGTGAGGAAAGGAAAGAGGGAGGGGGGGAAGAGAGAGAGAGAGAGAGAGAAAGAGAGAGAGAGAGAAAGAGAGAGAGATGAAGACAGAGAGAGACAGAGAGGGAGGGAGAGAGAGAGAGCTATCTTCCATAGAGAACAGAAGCATAGAGGCAGGCTAGGAAATGGGGGAAAGAAACTGGAGGTATTGGTGGTGGGAAATGTGTGCTGTTGAAGAGACAGATGCTGGAACATTGTATGATGAAACCCAATCATACACAGCTTTGTCATTGTGTTTCTCATGGGGATTCAGAAAAAGAAAAAAAAAGTGGTGGAGAAGGATAAAGAGAAAAAGAGCCTCTTCTATCCTGGCGGGTTCTCCCCTGGGAATCCTTTCAGACCCTCGTCATCTGCTCACAAGTACTCTCAGGCAAGTTTCTACCCTCTCTCCACCTTTGTTGTCGCATTTCAGAACTGGGCATATTCTGGGCATTTTCTACATTCGTTGAGAGATTGCTATGAAAATGAAGCCGGTTAACACATATTAAATGCATTAAATGTTGGTGGACAGCACTGAGCCCATCCAGGTGTCTGGTTTTCTTCCTCTTGTGGACTTTTCTGTCCGGAAGTGTTCCAGCCTCAGAGATGAACAAACACCAGGTACATGCTAGACGCTCTTCCCTGCCACTGTGCCTTTGGGGAGGTTGAAGTGGACAGGAAATTCAGAGGCATCTGGTAGGAGGGTCAGGGCGTCTGACCATCTCAGACTGACCAAGCAGGAGTACACGACGACAGTGACCTGTTGTCTTTCTCTGTCTTTCTTACAAACTTATCTCTTCCTTCCTCATCCCCAGTCAAATGCAGTGTTCTGGGCTCCTTCCTTCCAAAGCAGCAAAGCAGAGACACTGGCCTGGGTCCCCGAGGCCAGAAAACATGTCAGGGTGAGAGGTGCCCCATGACTGCTGCAGGGAGGTTGGTTGACTAAAGGGGGCTCCAGCTCCCCAGCCCAGGGATCTGACACCACGCCCGGAGTGAGCTGTTTGGGGGGCTAATGTGCATCAGGGGAGCCTCTGTTCAGTCTGTGGCCTCCTTTTCCCAGTTTCACTTTTGGATTTTTCTCGTTCCTTCCCTCCCGAACGGGCTCTCAGTTCCCATGCTCTGTGCACAGTCTCTACCGGTGCAAGCTCTGAATTTATTTTGTCTGCCCCTTCCAGATTGGCTAACGGGAGATCAGAGCTTTCTGCACAAGAAAAGGCTTCCTGGCTGTGCACGTCTGCTCCTTTCATGTCGCTGGGCCTTTCCATTCCTGGCGTGACCCCTGCAGCCCTGCAGAGACAGGACGAGGCACCCGGATCACTAAAGTGCCATGGTCATAGTCGCCACTGTGCTTCCAGGGCCTCTATAAAAAGCTGAAAAACCTGGGCCTCTGAGATCAGCCCCCTGAGACGCCGACGTTTGCTCAAAGACACCCCTCTCCCTGTCTCTTGCTGACTGACCCTGTCCCAGTGTGCCTTTCAGTAGCCAGCCCACATCTCTATATTTAGGATGAGGGCCAGCCAGAGGGACAGACTTCAAACACTTCTCCGTTGCCTCCTGAGAAGCTTCCCCCAGAGTCTGGTCTTGGAGGCGGAGAGCCGTGTTCCTCTCAGCACCTGACTGTGTGGTTCCCCACACCTTCACCAGGCTTTGTGATGCTCTGTGACCTAGAAAATGTTCAATGCGACTGACAGTTTCTGCTATAGCAGAGCACCGGCTTCCCTTCCAGCCACCACCTAGTTAGGCGGTGGGTCCTCTCACCAGCACAGAAGTGGAGGCCCAGGCACCGTGGATGCTAAGAGGTGACACACATGAGTTCACTCTGCTCTCATGTGCTCATCCTATCTAGGTAGTTGGTCACAGAGGCAAGACTGTCTGTGTCCTCATCCACAGTGGTGATATTATATGAAACTCCTTTGAGCACTGACCTAGCAGAAGTTGAACTGCTACTCCTGGTGGGGGACAGAGAACTGGGGTACCTAGAGCCTTTGGCTGCCACTATTCCCCCAGCCCATCAGCAGATGTCCTGGCCACCTGGTCCCCAGGTGCCCTGGCTTAGGGGGATGGTCTCTCCATCAGTGTTAACTCACGGTCAGAAGCACTGTTGTTCGTTCCCAATAAGCTCACCAGGCAACAAGGCCTTTGTGCCCAGGAATGCCAGACAGAATCCCTGCCTTACTCTGAGGGCCTTTTAACCAGCCACAGCACCTCCAAGCACCCAGATAAAACACATGCGAGTTCAGAAGACCCCCTCCCCACCAAAGGACACTTGTTGGTAGCAGAGGCACACAAACTGAAATCAATGTGACTGGCTTCCACCTCAGCCTCCAACTGCACCTCAGGAGACTCACATGGGTGTTTTCTCAGGGCAAGTCCCCAGATGATCTTGAAAGCGGCTGGGCCACAGAGTTGGGACTTAGACCACTGTCAGCAATAGGTGAGTTTGCAGTTATGGACTTGGAAATAATGAAGATCTAATAATTTAGCAGGAAAGCGACAGGGGTGGGGGGGTGTAGTGTGGGAATTGGAATGTCAAGTTGGAATCTCAGATTTTAAACTAGAGGAGTCTGGTGTATAGGGGTTGGCTCAGGTGAGTCTAGGTGGGCACTCCCAGGCAAGAGCATGGCCAACACTGCCGCCCCACTCCAGGAATGATGCTTCATAGTTCAGAAACAGATGGATGTCTTTACTCTGTTTTGGAATTTGGAAGATGTTTTGATTTGTAGTTATGCTCCCTCCACATACCTTCATGGCTACACTTGTATTTCTCTTGCTCATTCTCTCTCTCTCTCTCTCTCTCTCTCTCTCTCTCTCTCTCTCTTTCTCTCTCCACCATGAGTTGTAATGATACCAGAGAGGTGGGCAGTAAATTTTCTTTAGGGAGAAGAGAAATGATTGGTGGGCGAGAGTAGCCAGATATCTTCACATGCCAGTCCTGGAATCTATAAGGAACACAGACAGTCTAGTTTATTCTGTTGAGGCCAGGAGCAGAAACTAGTTTCTCATCTGAGTTGCAGGGAAAGTGGGGAGAGCTTAGTGTTCTGGTGTGCTCTTGCAGTCATGCCACGTAGAGATGGTGTGTGGACAGCAGGGATGGTGTGCTCCAGGAGCCTGTTTTGTGGGCAGGCCAGACACTCCTCACAGCCTCTGCCTTCTTTCACTGCACAGACACAGAGCTTGATCAAACCAAGCCCAGGGCCCATGTGATCTCTCCTGACCATCCCAAACATCTATTAGTTCCTCGCCTCTTTCCTCTTTTGGCACTCAGGAAGTGTCTTCTTAGCCCCAGAGATACAAGAATACCCCAAACTCCAGAACTTTCATGAGTCTTACATTGGCCTCTCCCTGAGCAGTACCCATTGTCTTTCTCTTCTGACATTTTTATGTTCCTTCTCCCTGATGTTTCCCGTCAAGGAGCCACTCGTTCAACCCTCTGCTTCTGTCCTGTGATATTTCCTGTCACATAAGCAGAATGTCAGAGTGTAATTGCCTTAGTTAGTGCTGAGAAGAATGTATGGAGAAGAAGATTTTAATCACTCTTTTCTCTTTGTTTGCCAAATCTTCTGTACAAAACTTTGGGCTAGCTCAGATGCCAATGACTCAAAATGAGATAATCATGAAGTATCCAACAGTTCTGTGCAATTTTTTTTTACTTTGCTGCTTCTTCATCACTTCTCTCTCTAGAGCTCCATTCTAGACAAGACTTGAAGAAGTTTAGTAAGTGGCTCTTGGATTTCTCAGATTCTTTGGGATCAAATGAGACTGTGAGAAATTGCTCTCAGAGCAAAACCTACCATGCAAGCATTAATATCGATAAGGCTGTCATCCAGTCCAGCCAACTCTCCTCAACGCCCCTTTCTGCATCTTCATTGCACAGAACGGATGCTCAGCACATTAGAGAGACAGGTCTTTTTTCTGCCCTCACACAGAGCCACCTGTTTCTGGCAAGCTTGGGGGGAGAGGGCTGGAATAGACAACCCCAACTAGTTTTCAAGTGCAGAATCTGGTTGCCTCTCTGTTTTCAAAGGTTAAGTAAGACACATGTCATCTGGGAGGCCACTATCTGAATAGATACTCGGCGTTTTAACGTAGGGATACCTGTCCCAGTCCTTACCCCATAATTGCTAATGAACACGGGAATCCCCCATGCCTGTCATTTGCTAGTGAAGTGAGGTGTTTGGTGGGACCGACGTCCTCATCTGTGCTATTAAATTCAATTTAGGGCCACCTGCTTTGAAGGGGAGTGCAACCAGCACATCTGGCCCTGTCTGCGCCAGCCCTGAACAGTGCCCACTGGAGTGAAGGAATGATGAAATGTGTCTCCCTGAGCTGAGGCAGATTAGCAAGCTGTGAGTTCTCTGCTGGAGAGAAGCAACCTAGATACTGAGTTGTGCTTCTTTCCCTAAAATGGAGGAACGGTGTTTTCTTGGTAATGCCTTATGGGTTTGAGGCATAGTATCCCCACCCTAGCCTGTGCTGCATGGACCACCTGGTCTCATAATGCCAGTGTACTCACAAATGTGCCACTCCAGCCCCAAACCACACTTTTCCCGACTGTGGGGAGTGGGTCGAGAGTTGCTAGGAGCAATCATCCACCTTGTATTGAATTTGTGTTTGTGATTCTAGAGCCATCTTAGTTTTTTTCCTCAAGTTTTGACTTCATACTGTTGAGGAAGAAGAACTTTTTAAAAGTGCGTGCCTGTGAGAGGCTGAGCCCAGTGGCTTTCAATAGCGGCCTTGCAAGTGTAAGGTAGAGAACTCTGTTCTGGAGCCCCCGGGTGCCCGTGGACATGGACTGGGAATCCCCACAGACTGCTGTGTGCGGTTATTAATCCTGCAGAGAGGGGCAAAAGGGTGTGAGAAC